TTTTTGTTTACCTAGTGTGAAGAAGGTCCAATCCCATGGAATCCAACCATGACAGAATTTCAAAGACGTCAAATCACTGTCAGTCGCAGTAACTCTGATTGCACAGCAAAACGAATGGCAGGAAACTCAACGAACCATTTCATTCGGCAATATGTTGATAGGACCAGCTTCAGACGAAAGTCGGTAAGTGTTTATACAAGTCCGTTTAAAAACCCAGAAAACAGAAATTAATAAAAAGATTAAAAAAAGTAAAAGGTCTTGGCAAAAGGTCGTATTTTTTTAATAGATAATATGTTTACAGTGTAAAACTGTATCATGATTAATAATCTTGGTAGTCTTACAACAGCTTCAAATCTTCCCCGTTCGTCTTTTAATACTTTTCTCTCTTAAATATTTAAATATTTAAAATATTTCTCTACCACAGCGACCTGTATCATGGCAACCACCGCCATCTTGGATACAAGGTAGCTCAGTCCCAAGTCAACAGTTACCTCCTCAAGGCAACGATTATCTTGGTGGCAGTAGGACATCTTTGGATGTTGAACTTGAACTAGAGGCATCGAAAGCTAAACAGGTAAGGTTGGTTAAAGCCTGGATATTTATATAGCGAGTAAATCCAAACAACGGAAGAACATAGTTCAGAGAACAATGAGCGACAGTGGAGAGAGTGGGAGCAACACTGTGTGCCTCTCAAAGACACCACAAAAGCTGCTGAAAATATTCTAGAGCAATTTTGAAAGCGGCTTTGGGACAAGCTACCATTATAATTTGTTGTTGTTACCATTATAACTTGTTGTTGTTGTTGTTGTTGTTGTTGTTGTTGTTGTTACCATTATAACTTGTTAATTGTCACCATTATAACTTGTTGTTGTTACCATTAGTAACTTGTTGTTTTTACCATTATAACTTGATGTTGTCACCATTAATAACTTGTTGTCACCATTATAACTTGTTGTTGTTACCATTATATAACTTGTTGTTGTTACCATTAATAACTTGATGTTGTTACCATTATAATTTGTTGTTGTTACCATTATAACTTCTTGTTGTTACCATTAATAACTTGTTGTTGTTACTATTATAATTTGTTGTTGTTACCATTAATAACTTGTTATTCTTGTAAATGCTTCTAATTAGTTACAGCTATTCCAACATTTCTACTTTCGAGTAATTTCAACCGTTACTCGCGAAAAAAACGTATAGAAGACTCATTCGGTAATTAATATGACATGTTTTTTCTGATGAGTTATTTTATTTGTAGATCCAATTAGGCAAGGAAAATGCTCGTTTACAAGAGATGAAAAGAATAATGGAAGAAGCACAATCAAAAGGTTCAACAGAATTACCCGCTTTGCTTGAAAACAGAGATTTTAAACGATTTTTAAAAGAAGCTGAAAAGGTACATGATTGTATTATACATGATGGTCACACCTAATCTTTCAGGAAGGACATGGATTCATATAATCATGCTTAGAATAGTATAACAGCGATATACAGTGTGTATCAAAATAATTCGAATCCAAATTTGGCGTGTAATAACGCAGAATATATTTGACAAATTCGGTTGGTTTTTACACCATTGTTAAGTTCATTTATTTATCTTTCAAATGACATGCTGTACGCGTCATTTAGTTGGAAAATGAAGGAGTATTGCTTTGACAAAAAAGTCCATAAAAATCACAATTTTCCGCCGATGGGAATTGGACATTTTTTCTTTCAAAGTTAGTCCCACAAGGCTTTGAAATGCTAATCATCACTGAAAACTAAAATGCAAATTTAACGCGAATTTCTTCTCGTTCAACATGTTGAAGGCATAGGAGCTTAAATCTCTTCAAATGAACACGAATTTATGTAAATTTTGCTACATAACAGTTTGTTGATTAATTAAATTTGCATTATCTTTTGTTTGTACGTCTCACTTCGAATTCCCATCGGCGGAAAAATGTTAGCGTTTCCCAGCAGCCTTTCACGCTCGTATTCGACTTTTCCGCTTTGCATGCTGTATATATATATATATATATATATATATATATATATATATATATATATATATATATATATATATATATATATATATATATATATATATATATATATATATATATATATATATAAAATAGTCTGTGCTAGGTTATAAAAACCAATGATAGAGTGCTCAATGGATAACCAGAGCATTTAATAGAAAGACACAAAACAAAGCTTGCCAAACAAAGCTTGCTAAGTTTTTGTGTCTTTCTATATATATATATATATAATTGCCCAATTTTTGTAGTTAGAATATTTCATTGATTTTGTCTGTTTTGTTTCGTACAGGCTTCTGTACAACCGAAAGGTTCAGTTGTTTCGAGTATTGTTCCACAAACAACATCCAGTCAAACTCCACAGAGAGGATCAAAACAAGAGGAGATTAAAAAATTTAAGTAAGTACACCCAAGATGTTTCGTGGCAGCATTTTAAATATAATGTGAGAAACGTCTGTCCATATACTTGATAACATTGTTGCAAACAATAAATGTGGTTGTTCAATAATTATTTTCGCTTGTTGCGAACGTGAATATAGTTATTGTTGGGTCAACAACATCAATATTGTTGCAATGTTGTTCTACATTTTATGCAACAGTGTGTAGCCTGAGTCGTGTAGAATAAGATATTTACCGATTATTTTACCTTCTAGAAATAAAATGGACTTTATAACAAGTTTACGTCTTCGCGTTCCTCAACCACCTTCTGATATGGAGAAACCTTGTTTAGTTTAGTATAGCTATGTATATTATAATATAGCGATTGACAAAGTCGATTATGTAGCTCAAGAAATTAACCCCAAATATATATATATATATTATTTTATATTATAGTTAAAAACATTTAAAAGCCAATTATAAAAGGCAGACATTAACTTAACCAAACATTATTATCGATGGGAAAATTTATAAAATGGGAGACCATCTCTTTCTAAATAATATTTATTGAGAATATTTGTTGGATCAACGTGCGAATTATGTACTATATAAATATTTACTATTGTAAATAGTATAATTATTAAACTGATACAGTTGTATGTATCATGCGACATTAGCCTTGAGAAATGTAGCAGTTTTAAATAACCCATCTTCATGAGTAAAATTGTCTGGTGTTTGCCGAGTAGAGTACTCAAGTCGGACAAAGTGTACGAAGGGTTCAAACTACATTGTGATGTGTAAAACACATTTTGCACATAATAACAAATAGCCTACGCTTATACCCCCAACCGTTACCTTTTCTTGTGAAAACACGCGAAACCCGCGTGAGACGAAATTGGAAAAGCGTGGGCTAGAGTGGGAATCCCACAAAAACGATTGGAATGGCTGAAATTCAGAATTTTAAGACGACCATTTAAATCATGCTACTTAAGAAATGTGTGGGTTATTAAATTGCTACATTTCTGTTATGCTATGTTGTGTTTGTATGTTGTAATGTTGTTACCAGGGTGATGCAGAGGAGCCCATGCAGAACCTACTCATAGAAACACTTGCATGAAGGTTGGTTCAAAGCTAGCTAGCTAGCCTGAAAATGCAGTCGCAGTGTACCACTATATGTAGTTCCACGTATTGTGTTACATGACCAAGAGTTTTCACTACCTTATTGTTCTTCGTGATATCATGAAATTTGGGACAGTTCCAGTACCCCTGCAAAGTTGTTTTTTTCACTAGGAAAACTTTCCCACGACACTTTCTTTGTCTTATGGGCAATTGAGTGAAACTAGGAATGCAAAAATATTCCCATAGTGCAAAACCCACTTCATTGTTCTAATATTTGGTGATTTTGAAAGGGTTTTTATTGCCACGAAAGCCATGTTTACTTTGTGAAATACATTTGTCGTGAGAATTAGAAGATGGCTGTTCTTGATAGAATTGTCCATTTGGCTGATTGTATATACGACTTTCCGAGTACAACTGTTCAGAATAATTTTTAATTTAGTTCAAATATTATTTTATTCCACATGCATACAGTATAAATTTTCCCGTTCGTTACACTGGCTGTCTGTGCATGCGTGATTTTGTTGGTCTAGCGCAGATACAAACACTGCATATATTCGTGCCATATTGCGACTGCATCCAACAAGCTATGCATGTTTTGTGTGTTTCACAGAGCAATGGTTCTGGTAATACTATAGACTGCAGGCAATGCATGGTATTATATAAATCATGGTGTTCCTCAGTAATCCTGGTTTATTGTTGTAGTGCAAAGCATATATTTCAGTTTATTCAAATCCTCTTAGAGGAGTATCTTGTACTCACAATGCAATAAATTACCATGTACGTAAACCGTTTGACTTTTTTTTAAATGTATTTTAGTTCAACAACTATATGTGGCTCATTGCTTGATCAGGGTTTTCAACAATCTCGTACCCTGAGTGTGCCCGTTCGCATGCCCAGCACCTAACCTACGAACGGGCATACTCTGGGTACGAGATTGGGTTTTCAGTAGAATTTAGAGTAGGGGGTTTGTCAGAAGAAGTATAGGCGGCTATGTGGGTCCGAAGGTATCACCCACACTGCCTCCTCCGCAGGCCATTCGTTGGACACAGTGAAGTGCAATCTATATAGATCAGTGGCTGTGATAAGTTGCCGGGCAATGCACGATGGGGTATTGCGCGCCCAACAAAGAAATATTTTCTTGTTTTGCTCTCCTCAATTTGAAAGCGACTGGGGACGAAGCAGTCACCGACAATTTGGTTATACTCATTCTCGTACCCAGAGCCCTTCTTACGCGCGGTGCGACGAGGGGCTTTGGCCAAATCCATATCCGAACTGGCATCTGATTGGCTATTTCTAACACCGGATATTGTTTTCTTACCATGTTTTTATGGTATCCGGTTATGGATTTGGCCCTCTGGGATTTGGCCAGAGCCCCTCGTCGCACCACGCGTAAGAAGGGATCTGGGTACGAGAATGGGTTATACTATGCAAATATTTCCGTTTCAATTTCTGAAGAAATGAATAGTGATAATAATTTAAACTTTGCATAGCATGATCAAATTGTCGGGCTGGTTCGCCACTGCACCTGGGCTGTCCAAGGTGAAGGTCGTCTCCCTGTAAATATTTTGTAATTTAAATCATCTGAAATGGCATTTCAAGCCATTTGGGAAATCCTGTTGGAAATTTCGTCATATTATCAAAACATTTAACGAAGAATATCGTGTAAAATTTATGTTTTAAAATGAGGAAATCTTTCCTCATATTTCCATTGTGAAGAGGGAATATTTTGGGTTATAATTTCGAAAAACAACCTGCGATTGTCTTCGCTAGACGGCACAGTAAGACTTAATTGAAAGATCCTTCCTCTATATTTACCGGATCGATTGGTATGCAAAAAAGACACATAATTTCCTGCCAGCAGCTACTCTATTTACCACCTGCCACAGGTTGGTTGTGGTTTGTACTGCGTTTGCCACAGTGTAACACTGTGGAGTAGCAAATCAAAGCGCCTGGGTACAAGGCAAGGCTGTTGAATAACTGCTAGCCATCTCTTCTACGACTCAAATGTTCCAAAAAGTCGAGAAGTGGGGGAGGGGCATCTTCAATTGTGATAAACAAATGGGATAGACAAGTGAGAGTTCACAAGATTGCTCCAAATTTAAACTCAGATTTTGTCTTAGTGTTAGGGGGGTTAATGTTCTTAAAATGGTTTGAATCCGGGTATATTCTTAATTGTTTTTTAGTTCATCCAGATATTTTTTACATTTAATTAATAGTTTTATTTTGTCTGACGTTAATTAATAGTTTTATTTTGTTTATGTTTTGTTTAAGGGTTAATGTTAATGTTAATGTTAGTTTAGTGTTAGGGTTAGGTTTAAGGTTGGGATTAGGTGTAGGGTGTAGGATTGTTACAAGAGCCTGGTTATTGATTTTTTTCATGTTTGGTCTTAAAAACAGGCCGCCATCCTGTCCCTCCCTCTCGTCCATCCCCTTTAGCAACGGCCCATATTTTGACTCACGTTGACTATATCCTCAACACGATAGAGATTATAAAAGAATAGAGTGGGTATTACGGGAATATCGAGGGACAAATGGGGCAAATAACGCTCTCTGATTCGTTTCCGGATGCAAAATCGCGGAGACGCCAACATTGAAACGGGTGGAAAGTAGAAAATATTTTTGTGTGTTTTTGATGTTACATCTGAATGCATGTGAAAACTAGATTAGTAGATAGTCCCAATGTATATTGTTATTATTGTCAAAGATTGTAGTTAATGCAAGGACTATAAAAGCTCAGAATAAACAACAATACCTGGACTTTAGTGGAAAACACATTTTAGAACGGTAGATATGCATGTTTTACAGTAAAGTGTGTTTTTTTTCGTAATACAAAACTCCTCAACTTATCCTCAATTTTGTTTTCCCATAAGTAAAAACAAAACAGTCAGGACTATCGAATTCGTTGCGGGTGATGTCAATAAAGTGAATATACGTAGCTTTCGTTTTCGTAATCTCTTAATAACACTCACCCTAACCTGACTCGTTCCCAGTCGCTCGCGTTGGATGATGGGAATGGGTTCCGACATGTATTGTCAACGCCTAACCCGCGAATGGGCATATTCTCCCGTACTAAAATATAACGAGAAACTGTGGAAGAGTCAGCACCCTAACCGTCACCCGCACTACTTTCGCCGCTATTTGACATGGTTTTCTGTCGCGTTTCTTTATTCTATGATTAATATGATGTGTAACATTACAGTATATACCTCCGCAGAGACACAAACTTGATACAGAGCTCCTGGTGGGACTCTCATGCATACTTCGCGCGCATGACTTTATTTTCACTATCAACGCTACTCCTGATAACAGAACTCCTTGTATGGGTTAATGGGTCAAAGTGTCATTGGCCTAGGCTTTTACTGATCACAAATTACGTTTCCATGGGCTCCAGTCTTCCTATTTGAAAAGAAGCAGAAAACGCATCTTTGTCCCCAGTCCCACGCTATGTAATAAAAAAGTGGAAGGCTTAGGCCACTATTACGGCAGAGCACTAATCGCAAATGGCAAACTTCAAATTTTGATGTAAATTGTTAGCTATTAGAACAATTGCGCGTTCAAATTGAAGCATGAATTAGCTGCAGAAAACTTACAGAACTTACCTTCAAATGCGGTGTCCGTTTGCAGTCTGGGGCTGCCGGCTGGGTGTATAGTAAAAAGGTAGTTAAAGTACAGTTACCAAATTAAAATTACTTGATTTTTTTCTGTGTTGGTGTAATAACATAAAATTACTTATTATAGAGTATTAATTGAACTACAAAATAGTGGTTAAAATGTATAGTTAAGAATTTTATACAACCGACCCTGGTGTAAATATCAATCTTACGGTCTCTGTTTTTTGACGCACATTTTATGAAATATTTTTGCAGTCAATTTGTATGAATGAGTTTTATGATAATTTCAATCCGGCAAAAGGTTAGCAGTCTAATTTATCACACTAGTTTAATCGACATTCAAAACTTATTATATAATACCTTATTGAATCCTGGTCGTTTAATTGTCTGTTTATATGGTCACGTGATATTGAATAGAAAATTCCATTTCCCAAGAGTGCAATGGAATACGTTCCTTTGCACTCTTTGCGAGTGCAATTGTACTATACGTTTTATTCCATTGCACTCTTTGTGTTTTCGATAATTCGCATCCGTCAAAATGCTTCTAATACGAATCTATTAGTCTATTTTGGTATTATATAAAACAAATAACGAATGTTTATGAGTGCAATGGTAAGAATATCTTCATTCGGTGAAAGCTGGAATGTTCCATTCAACTCGGCTGTCGCCTCGAATTAAACATTCCATCTTTCACCTCATGAAAATATTCTTACCATTGCACTCATATAAACATTCATTATTTGTATATTATATACAAAACGTTTAATTGCTCAGGTGAACAGAATTCAACGGTAAAAGCAGATCTTATGACTGTCATTTTTATCGGTTGGGATTAAATTTATAAAAACGAACGTTTTTTTATTACTATGCAATAGCAGTCACTAAGGCAGATATTCCAGTTCAGAGAATGGCATGTGATTCTATTAGAAATGTGATTCTAATAATATAATTTCGTTTTCAACACGAATATTTAATGAAATGTTTACAAATCAGTCTATAAAATATAAAAAATCATTCGGAATATCTAATATTAACCAGAGCCAAATTAAAAACATGTAAATTTGAGGTTTTATAATTATACTATTCCGGTACACGCGGGCGCCACGCCCACGGTTTTACAAATAGTTATTATTTTTGAATATATAAGAAAGTACGTTTAGAATAATAACATCATGTGACCTACCATGTCGTCCTACGGACTGGTGAGTAGTGTGGACGTAGCCTACACACACGCAAAAATCTCACATCTTGTAGCAACTCTAGCTAGCTGCCAACAAACCGTCGACAAGTTGTGTTCTGTTTGTCCCAAGTTGTCGAGAAGTTTGGAACAAGCTGTTAACAAATTGTAACAAACTTGATGGCATTATCAGACTTCTTACACGGTTGGTCCATAATAATTCATGAAGAAACACAAAAGAAATGAGCGTGGAGGAGTTTGTATGCTGGTCTGATATACATAATCCATATTTCTCACCATAGGCGTACGGGAAGGAAAAAATTAGGGGGCGGAAAGAAATTTGCCCGACTTTTTCGGATTGTGCCCGAAAAAAATTTTCCGGAGAAACTTTCCAAAAATTGTTGTCGATGGGGGGGGAGGAGTGAATACGAAAAATTCCTATTAGATAGCATATTTCCCACAAAATTGACAGAATTTCCCACAAAATTGACAGAATTTGTCCCATTTATTTTTGTAATAAGCCAATATTGCCCGACTGGCTTTGTTTTCCCAACAAACCGGGGAGGGGGGGGGGGGCTTCCGCCCCCTCCGCCCATGTTTCTCACCAAATATCATTAATTTATTTTAAATTGTTGAAAAATACTAATGTTCTCATCAAGCATTCGCGTTCGTGTTGTATCGGACATACAATTGCAACCTCTCGTTTATCGTGTATATCCGATACAACCACTGATCAAGAAATAGTGGATACAACACTATGACCGCTCACGTTGTAAATAGTACTCATTACTCTGTTTACAGGGTCGGTATTTCAACATTTTTGTTGTGTCAATCAAATAGATGCAAGCTTTATTAATTAATTAATATATACTATGACTATTGCCGTATTGGCCGTATTAATAGGCGTAGCGCCGTTCACCTTCATTTAAGTTTTATACAGCAGTCATGTTGACAACCGCATGTTCGAAATTCGAACATGCGGTTGCACTTCGAAATAGTATTATATTTGTATAAAGATATCTCTTATAGCTGTGCATATCACGAAAAGAGATTGGACGTCGAGAAAAAGATGCCGACCGATTACATTTGTGTGTGGACAGCTGTAAACCAAATGTCATCTTGTAGAGATTGATCTGTTATGTTGACAACGTTTGACATAGCAACAAAGCGTAGCTACGAAGAAATACATACGTGAAAGGAAAGGCTTTTGTGAAGTCCACGATGAACAGAACATTAACAGAGTCAAATGATGAGACAAGGAAAGTAACGAAGGTGATTTTTACCTTTACGGCGTCCTTGGCACTTGTTGGAAACTTTCTTGTCTTGCTTCTGTTTGCTCATTTTCCATCATGGCTCAAAAAGAAACACTATCAATGTATTTTAAACCTAGCAATAACAGACATCCTTACCGCCATATCTCTGCTGGTGGTTCCAAAGTTTATACAGGATGAGGATGTTTATACAGTTCCATTGGAAAACTTTCCCCGTGAATTCTATTGTCGCATTGTTTGGTCACATTTTATTCCCTTCTCGTTGGGAATTACATCAGTTTATACTTGCCTAGTTCTCGCAATAGAAAGATGGTTTGCAGTGTTTCGTCCTGTTATTTACAAACAAAAATTCGGGATGAGGACGATGCAAGCCTTAATACTCTGCACTTGGATTGCAGGAATAGCGTTTGAATCTCCTATAATCCCACGTGTGGAAGGTTATCAGGATCCTAACACGACAACAGCAAAGTGCAAATGGACAGTGGAAACAAATCAACAACAATCATGGGCCTTAGCCATCGTGTTGTTTGCTGGACAAACATTTATTCCTTGCAGTTTTATTGTCTTGGCTTATTGTCATATTTTTAAAAGGTACCTTACAAATCCAACACACATTGATTCCATTAATGTCCAGTTGTGTCCTTTACCAAAATGTACAGTTGTTGTTGTCCTGGGGTGCGAATTTTTTTATTCGGCTCCATTTGGCCAGCCCAAACGTATCCCTCACCACTTACTTTAAAACTAGCATAAGTTAGCTGAGTGGGATTGTGGTGTCTTATCCCTTTTTATATCCTTGGTTGTTTGTCATTTTACTATGGTAGAACTTGTCTTCCCTGGTAAAGAATTGCAAACAAACGGATACTTTGTTGAAAGACGCTGAAAATTGAAATGCACTTGACGCATTCAATGTGTGCAAATATTTGATGGGGAAAATACCCTGAAATCCAGCGCAGTGGTTTCGGTACTTAGTGAAAAATCACGCCAATAGAAAATTTGGGATCAACTTGTCCATCTTGTTTATTCCCGATTGGTGCCACCGTCAAACTTCGAAATACATGCATGCACTGTAATGGCACATATAAAAAGTTTGGCAAATCCTTTAAGATTTACTATGTTCTCTTTTTAGATTAAAGAACGAAAGAGTGTACCCTGCAGTCTTTACCAGGAGAACAAACTCTTCGGCACGCAGTTCATCAAAACAGGCGTTGAAACGAGCGACAATGATGATGGCGGTTGCATCGTTAACTCTCATCATCTGTTGGCTGCCAAATCAAGTGTACTTCTTGCTTGCTCAGCTGGGTTATTTCGAGATCAAACCAAGTATTCCTGTCAGAGTCATGGGTGTCCTCGTGTTTTCCAATTCTTGGATAAATCCTATAATTTATGCTTTTACGAATAAAAATTTCCGCAAAGGTTATCAAACTATATTCAGCCTCTGGTAACATTACTGTATACATAACACATCAATATACGTTAAACTATAACACTATATAGGCTATGGTATCATGAGTGCTGTTGTTAGGGTTTGTAATCCAAGTGTAATACAAACCCTAACAACAGCATTCTAATATTAATACCACCAAGTGAAGTGCAAGAAACCAGATCATTGAAGTCCACCTTATCCCAACCCGCACACCCGATCACCTCACAGCTGGCCTCTGTAGCTCAGTTGGTTAGAGCGCTGCACCGGAATCGCAGGGCCGTAGGTTCAATCCCTACCAGAGGACCTTGTGCTGCATTTTTCGCAGTCGTTCCTGGTCAGGTCTTAAAATGTATATATATACTCACTTGGATTACAAACCCTAACAACAGAATTCTATCGTATCATGCATGCATTAAAAACATCGCTCTTTTTTAAAATGACATTAATTTCAGCATCATAACAGTTGCCTCTTCTGCCTGACACAACAACTAAATCAGGGTAAGGTTTCAAATGAGAGAATGAGTTATAAACATTACTGATTTCATGAAGCGAGCGACGGAAATACTTAGCAGAATTACCATCTTTCGAAACCATATTGCAAACATTGGTGTGTATCATTGATCTTATATATTTTTGAGATCGTGCTGTGGTCTATGTACTGCTCACACAACCATAGAAATGGTGACGTAATTCTTACTTTGTTTCATTACACTGGTTTCGTATCACTTCTTCTTTCAGTGATATATATCCAAAAATTGGCTTAATCAATCGCATATATCGTCATTTTTACCTTCCGTAATTTTACTCCGTATCTACAAACTATGCTACCCATCTTGGACTATGGTTCAACTGTTTGGCACGAGTGCGGAACAATTCAAACGAGGCGGGTCGAGGAACTGCAGAATCATGCTTTGAGGATTATCCTTCACAAAGGAAGGCGAAAATGCTCTCAAGAGATGCGCAGCGAACTGAAGCTGCTGACATTGCATAGCAGGAGACGATTTTTACGTTTTTAATTATAAGTATTTCAAGATACTGTATAACTTGGACCGCCCTAGCCAACTGAGAGATACGTTCAAATTCAGACGTTGTATATACACAACAGAGACCTGAGGGATAAGACGCTGCTTGATCTTCCGAAGGTGAACAGTGCAATAGGTCAATCAACATTCAAGTATGCTGGTGCAAAAGACTGGAAATCTTTACCTTTAAACATTAGAGAACTGATATCGCCCTCAAAATTTAAACGTACTGTTTATATGCATCTTTTAGAACTTGACAATAAATCTCATATTTGTAGTATATAAGAATATGCATGTTTATATTGTATATAAAATAAGTGCATGTAACGTTAATAATTACTACGTAATTATTCAGTCACACTATGTTGATAAAAAAGTATCAATGATGAAATTTATTGACGGTATTGATACAACAAAATCTTGAAACAGTACACGTGGGAATGTATTTTAAATTTCTCAGAATTGTTTTGCTAACTCCATTGTATCCCATGGTTCCAATAACATGTTATTTAGACATATCTTTCGATATGCAAAACCCAGAAGATATTAATCAGTGCAGATAATACATACTCATGAAATCAATCCACTGATAACACTTGTTTTGCGTAAACAGAGAACGTACAGGCAATATTTCGTCAAACAAAAAAAGCTACATAGTTCAAGAACATCGGTTTGATATAGGGATATAACTACCTGAAAAATACAAGGAGAACTTCGACGTTTCGAGCTAAGACGTCAGTTACTTCTTCAGGCCCTTCCCGACTTATCAAACCGATGTTCTTGAACTATACCGGTATAGCTTTTTTTTGTTTGACGAAATATTGCCTGTACGTTCACTGTTTACGCCAAACAAGTGTTATCAGACTATCAGTAGTTTGATTCCATGAGTATATATTATCTGCACTGATTAATGCCTTTGTGTTTTACGTCGCGACGAAACGGTTAGCACTATTTTCCATCCAGCAAACTGACCTGACGTCATTTTTGGAAGATGGAAGAGGTGTTAAATGGCTGTGTAACTAACCCCTAACCCTAACCGCAACCCTAACTCTAACCGTAACCGAATTAATAAAAATATCCAAAAAGAAACGACTTTAGAAAATCGATAGGGCGGTTTGCTGGATGGAAAATAGTGCTAACCCGACGAAACGCCTTCGGTCGAAACGGCGAAGTTCTCCTTGTATCTTTCAGGTACGGTTGTATCCCCATGTATCCCAATCAATCCGAAGCTTTCTTGTTACCTACACTGGCACAGACCGTTGAGGTTCTGGAACATTCTCGTGAACGCAAATATTTTCCAAGCGATTGTAACTAGGAGATTCAGTATAGTGATGGCATAAAAGGGTTTTTATCTGCGTTGCGACTACACCCTCTCTGCTTTCTGCAGCTACTTCAGCAAATACATAAATGTGGCTCCAAAACCAAAGTGTATAAAACTGTTGCGATAGGCACACAACTCAGATACAGACCTTAGCTCAATGTATATCGAAAAGGTTCTCATTCCGAACTCATTATTTTGAAACTACTTTACGCTTACCCGGCCAAATAAACAAATTACAAACCACAGACCAAAGCCTATACGCTTTCTCCTTTGAACTATAACATCTATTATCTCTAGAAATCATATTTATACAAAAAGCATGCTGAACACAAAAATCAGAAAGCGAGTCGTTTGCTCTCCAATAAATATCAGACCACGACTCTGATTGTCATTCTATCCCACATTTCTATACCTCCCCCATTGTTCTGCAGTTATAACATAGATCTTTGATTACTAACTATGGATACTTTCAAGATCGTTTTCATGATCAAGTTCTGTTTCTTCCAAACTTTCAAGCATAATCTCAACATAGTTCTGCACGGATTGCATGAACGAAACTTGGTATTCCACTTCCTTCACAAGCTAAAGAAAGAAACATTTATAAATTTACAGCATCGTCAATCACAACAAAAGCACTGACTGAGCTTCTATTTTACGGCTTTAAAATTGGCAAACATCGGAAATTTAGTTCAAATTTAAGTTCTCCAGAAGAGAATTGTTGAAGAACAGCTGCCGAACAGCTGCCTGGTAAAACTTTAGTCTACAAAAAAAGGACGCACGCATTATACAATAATAGTATATTGTACAAGCAATAAAGTATAATTTTCTTAACGTTATTTCAGGGTTATATGCTCACAAGTGGCGATGGCGACACCCGGCATACAGACAGTGGCGCTCGGCACTAACACCCAAATGGATCCTTCCGCCCGGCACTAATTTCAAATACGCAATACGAAAAAATTCAATAATTAAGGGACCGGTCATAAAGTAACTGCTAGGGTGGGCTGGAGTGATTTGGGATGGGCCATGGAAATTCTTTGGGCAGTTTTGATGGGCCGCCAATTTTTTTGTATGTCCACGGTTGGGCCACCAAACAAAAACCCATGCATGTCTACTTCAAAAAATAAAGATATTAATAATAAAAGTAAAAAAACTATCCAAATTATCAAATGCAAATGGTGCTATTGAAGCCAGTACTTTGTTTATACAACAACAAGAAGTGGTCGAATCACAGCAAATACAACCAACTGGAGAGCAGCTCAGAATCAACGTGTTGGTCAAGCTTGGTGGAATTAAGTATGTCAATACAGTGCATGCCGTGTATATTTACAATGTTCATACCCGCAAGTTTTTTTTTATTATAAAAGTGTATTTTCCCAATTTAGATTGGGTGGGTCATGAAAATTTTTTTGTAAGATTAGATGGGCTTTGAAATTTTAATCTACATCCTAAGATGGGTCACCGAACTTATTGGCAAAATTTGTGATTTTCTTCCAGCCCACCCTAGCAGTTACTTTATGACCAGTCCCTAAGGACTATTACAGTTGATTTCACGAAACTTTGGCCGCGCCAGTTGCGAGGTTGGTTGGGAATTTGGGAACTATAAACACGAGATCATCAAGTTGATTGGAAACCGGCCAATCAAATTCGGAAGTTTCGCATCAAATTATCGAAATTCGTTATGAAATCCGAACAAAGTTCGCAAGCAAGCTCGCAAATTGCAAACGATTTTGACGGTAAACTTATTGTATTAAACTTATTATAATTTTAAACCTGAAATTATTATTATGATATTATTTATTATTAAATGAATAAGTTTAATACAATACCTTTAGTTTTTAAAATTTACCGTCAAAATTGTTTGCAATTTGCGAACTTGCTTGCGAACTTGGTTCGGAATTTCATAACGAATTTCGATAATTTGATGCGAAACTTCCGAATTTGATTGGCCGGTTTCCAATCAACTTGATGATCTCGTGTTTATAGTTCCCAAATTCCCAACCAACCTCGAAATTGGCCTGGCCAAAGTTTCGTGAAATCAACTGTAAGTATATATAGACAATCGTTTTAAAGGCTGAACTGGTTAATATAAGACACGCTAGAAACGAATATGCTATAGCGAAATTGTGACCATTTTTGATCAATTGATATTTATTTTATCATATTAAGCCCGCCGCACACGAGCGCACTTGTTATTCGTGACAAGTTGGATCGACAAAATTTCCTCGTGTGCGGGCAACATTTACGGCATTTTCGTCATTCGTGACATGTAAACCAAATATCAAACATGTTTGATATTTTTCGTCATTCGTGACAAAAAATTCTCGTGTGCGGCGAGCAAACGACAAGCGCGCCTGAATAGGAAAATTTGCGCATGCGTGCAACTTGCAGAATTAAAAACAACATGGCGGATCAAAATCACGAGCTCGTGTCTTGTTTTTAATTCTGCAAGTTGCACGCATGCGCAAATTTTCCTATTCAGGCGCGCTTGTCGTTTGCTCGCCGCACACGAGAATTTTTTGTCACGAATGACGAAAAATATCAAACATGTTTGATATTTGGTTTACATGTCACGAATGACGAAAATGCCGTAAATGTTGCCCGCACACGAGGAAATTCTGTCGATCCAACTTGTCACGAATAACAAGTACGCGCAACAAGTGCGTTCGTGTGCGGCGGGCTTAAGTTTACACTCCTGACACTGTCACAGCATTATACTTATTCACGGCAGAGAGTGAGTATAGAACCACTGTCAATGTTTTCATGGTTTATTTTTCTAATGTAAGTATACGAAAATCCATTACTCATTACTCAGAATATACAAACACCCATTGGAACCCAACTACAAAATATTATACCAATTCTTAATTCGCAATCAAGTAATATTATAAAACAAATTTATATGTATCAATTACATACTGTAGTAAACAAAGGGGAAATCCCGCTTACGGGGGGTTGGTCCATACATTAGCATAACCTAACTTATGCGAGGCCTCCAGAGAAAACTAAAAGCGCTAAAGACAAGCTGATTTTTTTAAATAATGTGTAATTTATCAGTGAAGAATGAAAAATAATATTTAAGGGATATGTTAATTTTTGGCTGAGATAGAGCGTTTTTAGTATGCTGACTTGTCGACTGACCTGCGGTAAGTGTCAATATGTGGCGGTTCGACGACTCGTCTTGTGCAAGCTGTTCAGTCAAAGTTTAAATCGGTATAAGCTTAAAAATAATCTCATACGATGCGAATATTATGGGGTAAAGAATGAAAAAAAATATTATGACGACAAAGAAACTTGTGGCGGAGAATGAGCGTTTTGAATCGCTAAGCGGCACGCGTGTTTGCAGTCTCCATCAATATGTCGCTGTGCGATGACATAACTTATGCGAGGCCTCCAGAGAAAACTAAAAGCGCTAAAGACAAGCTGATTTTTTAAAGGTGATTTACAGTCCGTATGTAAACAAAGGCTTTGTTTAAATTTTTGTGTCCAAAATATTGAGCTTTATTCGACAACTATTTATATTTTCAAGCTTCTAGAGTATAATAAATGATCAAGTGTCGCGCGATCGACATTTTGCGATCACTTTCTTAGTGAAATACAAGCAATCAAACGCAACAGATCAGGTTGACTGAACGCGTTTCAAAAGAAAGTTAGACTGCGAGCAATCCCTCGTCTCCGCCCCATTTTGTCATTTTCCCGCGCGTTCAGTTTTAGTCCGGGAAACAATAAAACGAAGGAAAATAGAGGGATTGCTCGCAGTCTAAACGCAACAGATCAGGTTGACTGAACGCGTTTCAAAAGAAAGTGATCGCAAAAAGTTGATCTCGCGATATTTTGCACTGAATGGAAATCGGCCTGAATGCAATTCTCTCCTCTGCAGAGGCTTTAGTCACAGAATAGATACCAGACCAGAAGGGACACTCTTATGTGTTTTGGCTTCGGAAAAACGTCCAAAATTCTTTACGTGCTATGACGCCATCTTGGAGTGCACATGGCACTTCGTACCTATGTTTGTCCCATGAAAAACGTCCGTGTGCACTCCAGGATGGCGTCATATGATGGCTTATTTTCACGTCAGCATCGTCGTAAAATTTCGGACAAAATATTGTCTGAGTGACACTTCTGGTCCAGTATCTATTCTGTGCTTTAGTTGTCTTATGATTTATCACGATGAGATACATTTCACTACACTTTACATGGCGGATCTCAGAACACGGGCGGAGCCACTGGGAAAATGGTGAAGGAAAGGCAACTAAAGCCTCTGCGGAGGAGAGAGGGCAATCAACATGTACGCACTACGTACCTATTTTTTCTTCATTTTCGTCTACCCCTACACGTCTGAAGGGACTTCCGCAAATTATTTGTTTCAGTAAGTTTGGAGCTGACTCGTTGCTCGCTTAATGTTTTCGCTTTGCAAGATTTCGCCATTTTGCATTTTGTGTAAAAATTATTGCATAATTTTTTTATAAATATATTATAATCTATGATTGTAAACGTACACCACGTGATTGAAGGAGACTGGGAACGAGCTCCAAAATGGCTGACAACAATTTGGGTAATCGTTCCATGTTTCGCGCACCAATATAGTAAACGTTATGTAATGGATATTATATAATACCTTATTAAATTCTAATCATTTAATTGGCTGTTTATGGTCACGTGATATTGAATAGAAAATTCCATTTCCCAAGAGTGCAATGGAACACGTTCCATTGCACTCTCCGCGAGTGCAATGGAATAAAACGTATAGTACAATTGCACTCTTGGTGTTTTCGATAAATCGCATCCCTCAAAATGCTTCTCATACGAATCTATTAGTCTATTTTGGTATTATATAAAACAAATAATGAATGTTTCTTCGTGCAATGGTAAGAATATTTTCATTCGGTGAAAGATGGAATGTTCCATTCAACTCGGCTGTCGCCTCGTTGAATGGAACATTCCATCTTTCACCTCATGAAAATATTCTTACCATTGCACTCATAAACATTCATTATTTGTATATTATAGTGTACTGAAAAGTTAACTGCATACCTCCATACACATATATACACATCCTAACCCTAACCTTACACCTAACCCCTAACCTAACCCTAACTAACCTCTAATACCTAACCCCTAACCCTAACCAATATTGGTGCGCGAAACATGGAACGATAGCCACAATTTGAAGCTCAAAAGTAATGATAGTATTGCGAATTTTATCCTTGCTGCCGACTTGGAACAGTTTCAAGCTGCATTCCTGAGTCAGGGAGTAATAAAAGTAGAACATATTATAGTCGTGGCAAAAGAAGACCTGATCAAAATAGGTGAGTATTACTAAAAATTATACTCATAATTTAATATTCATTGATTTATATTCAAATTCTTATATTAGCACTATTTCCGTCGCCAGATAAATAATTTTGTGCATCTGCTTATTTTGATAAATGCCATAGCCATAGGACTTCGAGAAATAGAAATACGAAGATTTGAAAGACAGTAGAACTCGGTGAAGACTGAAGGACTCATTTAGCTCCAGAGAGCATAAATATACATAGTAGCTGTGATGGAATTGGAAAGTATTTGGCCTTTGCAGATTTGTGTGAGTTTGAAGACAATTTTCTGGTCGAGGGTGTTACAAAGATTAGCCATTTGATAGATGTAACTGCCGACGATTTAGCTGGAATAGGTATTTTAATATATTAGATTTTAAAGGTTTACATTCTGTCAATGGCATCATGTTTCTATACAATATTAAATTTCCACTACTCTATTTTCCCAAATTTTTGTTTCTGTTTTAATATTTATATTAAAGTTTTACAGTGTATTGTCCAACAGGTTTTATTTTATTATTCTATAGAGGGGTGCCGGGTGCAGTGTGAGCTTGTTTATGCAGGAAAGTTTTTACTCTACACATTAAGCTTTCCTATATAAACAAGATTATTATTAACTGCAATTTTAAATGAAGTCAGTTTGTTTTGTTTCAAAGAGATCCAAGTAAAGATTGTTTTGTTTTAAAGAGATCCAAAAGATCCAAGTAAAGATTGTAACTACAATTTTACTTTAAAAAACACCCAATATATCTTTATAATCTGTCTAAAGAAAATATGAGATTTGTGATAGGGTTTACCGGACTTCAAATAAAACCGTTCCAGAGACTGTGCAAAGATAACAAATCGATAGAAAGTCACAATAATGGTCTGAAAGCACCAATGAAATGCTCAACACCCTGGCAAGATAAGAAATTTGGATATGTTCCCCATGCCAAAACTGAAAGAGCAAAGTTCCTTAATGAGAATGTTCTTCCCTATTTTTACAAGAGCCAGTGGAAATGGTCAGAAAATGCCAGAAGTCTTACCCAAAAATTTCATTCAGAGGGAAGAAGACAGTATGATCTTCATGTGCAGCTGAAGAAATTACAAGAAAGTCTCTCATCATTGATAAGAAAGTTATCAGAAGATCCCTTAAAGCCTAACGACCTCAAGGCCATAATCTACAGAATCGAGCAAATCGAACACCCTGGGGAGAAAGTTGACAAATGTAACGAGCTGATAAGGCAGAATGATGAAAAATGCTTCACCAAATCTGGGAAAATTCAGTCTGGATATGAGTGTTCTCATAGCTTCAATGAAAAGTGCTACAGTGATATAACAAGCTTGAAGAACAAAATAGTAGATGCACTATCCAGGATGCACAATAGGGCAAAATCAAGGAAACGTCGTCTTGAGCGCCAAGAAGAAAAGTGTAAGAGGGTGTTTAAACTTGTCACTCTTTCAACAGTTACATGCTGCTATGGAGACACAGCTTAATTTAGCTAGCCTTTCAAAATTGAAAAAGAATGATATTCACTGGTTGAAACTGTTAATGGAGAAGAAGATGTTTACTACAAGTGCTATTTCTATTATCCAATCAACCGTTTCTCCGACTTTAATATTGGCATTAGACAATAACAGTGACAGTGGCACTAGTGAATACTCTGATGAATACTATGATGATGATATTGATAATGATGATAGATGACGATCGATAAATATCAATATTGGTACCATTAATAGTTGATGTTTTATAATAGTTGATGTTTTATAATAGTTGATATGGTTTAAACTTTAGATATTTCCTTCATTAAAATTTACGAACAAGTTTAATACACTGCGCTCATATTATATACGTTAAGCTGGATAATCTTTAATTAATAGTGTAAATGACCCACCCCTAATGTAGTGCACAATTTTCTCAGACCTACCCCTTTTTGCAAGCATGAAAATGGTGCCCCCCCCTTATTCTCCAGCTCCTCCCCCCCCCCATATACTTTATGACAAACATTGTTATTCATCTTTAAGGCTGAAAATGATATTTAAAGTTCGTTGTTGTGGTTGTTCTTCCGAATCTTGCTTTGTCTATATTCGCTGGCGAACAAATTTCGAGCAAATTTCAAGAAAGATTGAAATTTTATTTTGATAAAAAAAAATTATTTGGGATAATTTCTTATTGCTTTCTATTTGACAGAAACTCGGTTTCATAATATCATTTGGCAAGTATTTGTATTAGGTTTTAGAAAAGATTTGATTTGTCGTAATTTTATACAATGTCTATTTCCTAGTTAGTATAAAATAATACCAAGACCCAACTTGGGAACAATAGTGCAATTTGCACCAGCTTCAGCCCCAGATTCGTCATTTTTTAATGTATATAACAATTGCACAATAGGATAGCATGATGCTGAATATCATGTTGTATATTTTGCCGAACGCAGAGCTACATGCATTCACAGTAGTTACCGCAATATTCTAAACAAAGTGAAATATTTTAACTGTAATAAAGAAGACCCCCTCACTCATGTCACAACATGTTATTAGACAACCATTATAAGGCACTTTAGTGTCCATCATAAAATTCAGTTACTTAATTTTAAACTATCCCAAAAAAATTTTCCGCTTAAAATATTAACATTGGTTAATACAACAAAACCAAGTAGCAAAAAATCGTAAACGACAACGAAATATCACAACTTGCAAGAAATCGTACTTTGTTGCAAGAAATCGTCCAAGAACTGCCATGCGTCTCGCATTTCAAGTGCACTCTTCCCATCAGCCCCTTCGCCCATTTCTCCCCACTACAATACTTCATGTAATTTAAACTCGTCATATGCGCATCACTGTTTTTCTACAAAGAGACGCCTGGGTACGAGACAGAATAATCTAGTACAAATGCCGAATACTTCAGACATCCATGTCCGTAAAAGATATGATTGCTAATTGATGAAGGTGATTACAACGGCTCTAATGAACCGGGAAATAATCACAATACCTTTCAAATTCACAATACACAAACGCTACTTTCCATGCGAAATCAATCTCCAGAAGAGCATAACAATGAACCTCAGCACCCACAAGAAGATGACCAGCGTCAAAATACCAATAATCAACAAAGTGGGCAAGCCAAGTCAAGAATCCATAATCAACAAAGTAGGCAAGTCAACCCTCCCGTTGAAAGCGCTGATCATAACTCACTTATTCGGGTGCCCAAAATCCCGAACAGTGCGTGGTTTTAATTGGGGACTCAACCGTCAAGAACATTATCCCCCAGAAGCTGTCACGTAAGAAAGTTCATATAAGTTTACTTACCCCGGAGAGTCAGCGAAAGAAATAGAATCAGAAATTCGAAACATAGATAATGCAAGCTTTTCGGCTTCACATTTTATAATACATTGGGGGACGAATAATCTCCCAATTGACCAATCGAATGCTTGTCGTAATAAAATAGAGAAATTATGCTCTACGGTGCATGATAATTAAGTTTCCAAATGCCGAGGTTGGGATCTCGGGTATTACAATAAGAAACGATTTCGAATCTTCTGCTAAGATGGCAGATGTTAACAGTAAAATTGAAATGTATATTAGACCTAATTATACTTTTATAGATGATAAAAACATAAATGGATCCTGCCTCAATATATGGTAGTAAATTGCATTTAAACCCAAAAGGAGAATTGGCTTGAGAATTGCTAATTTAAACGTAAATAGTCTTTTAAAACATATCGACGAGATTCGCACCATGTTAGCTGATTACCCCTGATATTTTGGCTATTAACGAATCAAAAATTGATCCTTCAATTTCGAACTCTGAAATCAGAATACAGGATTATTCAATCCGTTCGGTTAGATCGTAATAGATGCGGTTGTGGTGTGGTTCTTTATATAAAAAACAATATTCCATATGTTGAAGACAGGATTTAAGTCGTGTTTACACTACCAGCCTTGGCCTGGCCTTGGGCTACATTTTGACAGTGTAAACAGCCTTGACCTAGCCTTGGCCTGACCTAGGCCAGGGAATCTGTGCTCACAACAACCGGTGGCCTAGGCCTACCCTAGGCTTAGGCTTGTGGAAATGTAAACACTTTTGGCCCTGGCCTGGGCCTTATTTTCATGGCAACGTGTGCCCACAGTGAGAGATTAGCGGACAACCAGCGGACAACGTCACAACACATAAAAATACACAAAATTAATTGCAAAATTCTAGGCCAAAGTGAACCAGTCTCAAAAACAGTGTAATGGTGTAAACGCGCCACATTTTACCTTGGTCTGGCCAAGGCCAGGCCAAGGCTTGTAGTGTGAACACGACTTAAGTCTCTGATGACCTTGGAATGATATGTATTAATTGAAGTTAATAGAAAGCATAGTAAACCCTTCTTGATAGGTACATGGTATCGACCACCTAGTGCTCATATTGACACATTTAATGACTTTGAACTATTTCTTTTTAAATGTGATATAGACGATAAGGAAATAATGTTGCTTTGGGACTTAAACTGTGATTTTAGTAAGGTGCCTCAGGACTTCTGTACTCGAAAGCTACAAGCATTGTGCTCCTTATATCAATTAACACAAGTTATAAATGAACCTACGATAGTTACTGAGACTGCATCTTCACTTATTGACGTTATTCTGACAAATACACCTGAAAACATTTCGACATAACTGAGGTGTCTTACACATTGCCATCTCTGACCATAGCTTGGTATATACTGTACGCATTGCAAATTAAAATTATCTAAATTTCGACCTACGTCCTGTAAAAAAAGTCCGGGACTTTAAACATTTTTCAGATTCTCAATTTCGTTCAATTCAGATCTATCTCAGGGACATTGTGATACAATTCTGAGATGTGATGATCATAATAGATGTTGGATTGTTTGGAAATCTATTTTTCACGAAATCCTAAACAAGCATGCACCTCTTCGACATAGAAGGACTGAAGTCCCTTGGATTACGCCCACTATCAAGCAATTAATGAGGGAAAGGAATTATCATAAAAAAGGCAATATAATTTAATTTAACTTTACAATACATTGGGAAAAGTTCAGTTTATGCGGAATAAAATAAATATACGAATGCGTAAAACAAAAGCCGATTTCTATCATAGAGAGATTGGAGAGTGTGCTAAGCTAAATGATTTGAAAAAAACTCGTCACTAATAAACTCTCTTACTGGAAAGAATAATAAAGCCAATAGTATTACAGAAATCTCTGCTAATAATGGTAACATTACCAACTCGAAACTTATTGCCCAAGCATTTAATGAATATTTCGTTAACATAGGCCAAAACTTCGCATCTGAGGCAAATCATGAACTCCCTGAAGAAGAAATGAATATCGGTTACATTCCTAACACTCACGTGAATACAGAATTTCAGTTCCATCAAATTAATGTTGAAAATGTAACCTTGGCTCTAATTAATGAACTTAAAGACTGACAAATCTACTCATGATTTGGATAAAATTCCAGCCAAAGTCCTCAAACTGACTGCAGATATCATAGCTCCGCCGTGACTGTCCTATATATTTGATTTATCACTCGAAGAAAACTGTGTTGACGACTGGAAACAGGCTCGGGTGAATCCAATTTATCAATCAGACGACAGACTAAAATGTGAAAATTATAGACCGATTTCTATACTCCCAATCGAAAGTAAGGTTTTTGAAAGAGAGGTTTTTAGACACATTTGTGATTGTGAACTTTATTTACCCACGGTAGACTTATCAGGATTTTACATAAAAGATGATAAGAGAATACAATATAGTTACAGATTACAGAATATAAAAGTTAATTAAAATACTAATTATGTATACATACTATACTAATACTAATTATATATTACAAGAATACCTGTTTTCCATAAGTGCCGTGCTAATATATTAATACAAAAATCTAAAATTATTGACTAATGTATAAAGTTGCTGCAGTCTGACTTGAATTTACGTAATGAGTTAGACTGTCTCAACTCAACCGGAAGGGAGTTCCACAGCACAGAACCACTATAGCTAAAACTATTTTTCAGGTAATTTGTGCGTGGTTGAGCTAAAGCTAATTTTCTACTGGTGTCTCTCAATGTATAATTTGTTACGCTACTTCGATCAACAAACATTTCAGACAGGTAGTCTGGCACAAAACCATTAAGAGATTTATAGACCATTATAGCTTTGGCAATTTTTCGCTGAGATTCAAGGTTTTTCCAGCTCAATTTTTCAATTAGATATTCAGCATTTGTATCATAACTAGATGAAGTAAGTACTGTAGCGGCTCGATTTTGGAGTTTTTGCAGTTTATTCGCAAGAGTACTGCCGCAACTATCCCAGACAACGCAACAGTAATCGAAATAGGGTTGAACTAAGCAATTGTAAATAAGTTGCATTGTGGAAGATGGGACGAATGGCCTTATACGCTTTAATGCACCTATGCCAGAAGCGACTTTTTTGCATAATTTCTCGATATGAACATTCCAAGTCAAGTTCTCGTCTAAATGTACACCAAGTGACTTTGTGTGAGAGACTTGTTTAATTGGTACGTCATTTATTGTCAGTGAAGGACTAGAGTTGAAAGTACTAATCCTTTGACGGGAGCCGATTAGCATAAATTCTGTTTTAGATTGGTTTAAAGTAAGTTTGTTGGCTACTAACCACTCACTGACTTTAGCAAGATCTTCGTTGAAGTGATGATCAATGTCATCAATATCGTTACTTGCGTAAGTCAAATGAGTGTCATCTGCATACATGCGTGCACGTGAGTGAGAAAGGCAATTCGGGAGATCATTGATATAGATTAAGAATAAAAGTGGCCCCAGAATAGTTCCCTGGGGAACTCCGCAACGGAGTAAACGATTTGTCGAAAAATGACCATTAACGAAACATTTTTGTTTCCGTTCACTGAGATATGATCTGAACCAGTTGCCAGCAACACCATTGATGCCATATGAATTTAGTTTTCCTAAAAGAATCTCGTGGTCTACGGTATCAAACGCCTTCCTGAGGTCGAGAAACAGGACAGCATTTACGCTTCCATGATCGATATTATAAGCCCAATCGTTAGTGGCCTCAAGAAGGGCGGTAACAGTAGAATGTAGACCACGAAATCCCGACTGACAATTAGTTAGCAGACTATTTTCAGATAGAAATAAATACAGCTGATCATAAATTATCCTTTCGAAAACCTTAGCCACTACCGAGACAATGGAAATCGGACGATAATTGTCAGGACAATTACGTTTCCCTTGTTTGTGTATTGGGACAACTTTAGCGTGTTTCCACTCATCTGGGAATACTCCGGAGACAATTGATCGATTAAAAATGTAGCTAAGAGATTCCGCTATTAAATCAGGGCACTCTCGAAGTAGGCGGGACGAAATTTTGTCCAGACCAGTAGCTTTTGACCTACTTAGCTTGGACAAAAGGACGAAAACTGCAGAGAAATTAGCTTCTTTTAATTGAAAACGGATGTTGTTATTTTGACTAGGTAAATAATCGAGATAACAACGATTATTCTGATTAACAGCTACATTATCTGCAAGCTTCGGACCAATGTTAGAGAAGTGTTCGTTAAAAGCATCAGCAATTTTGTTGGAATCGTTTATAACTTTGTTTCTGATAAGTTCTTACTCTCCAAGTTTCAATCGGTATTTCGACCTAAACACTCTACACTGTCCTCTTTGATACAAATGTGCGACGATTTACTTGAGAATATGGATAATGGCAAAATAAATTGTGTCGTGTTTCTTGATGTACGTAAAGCCTTTCATTGTATAAACCATGAAATACTGTTAAAAAATGCTTAACTATTTTGGTATATCAGGAATTACACTAAATTGGTTCAAGTCTTATCTATCTGATAGAGAGCACCAATGTCTGGTAAACGGTAATTTATCGAGCCCGAGAAAGATAAAGAGCGGTGCACCGCAGGGATCTATCTTGGGTCCTGTATTATTCCTATTGTACATAAACGATATGCCTGACTCCTTAAAATATTCAATTCCATCCCTCTAAGCAGATGACACAGAAATTTATCTATCATCTAAAGATTGCGATGACATTGTTATTAAAATAAACCTTGATCTTGAAAATATTAGAAAATGGATGCTACGAAATAAGCTCCAAATTCATCTTACAAAATCGGAATATATGTTCATTGGATCAGCGTATAACATTAAACATAAGGTATCTGGGAACCCTACTCTCGTTAATAACGTTCCAATACCCAGGACTGAAAATTATATTTGCCTTGGTGTCAACATTGATGAAAGATTGACCTGGGAAAAACATATTGATATGATATGTTCAAAAGTCAGTGCGGGAATCGGGGTTATAAGATTATTAGGCCCTTCGTATCGTGTGCGACACTAAAATTGATGTACAATGCTATTGTACAGTCCTACTTTGATTACTGCAGCCCTCTCTGGGACAACTGTGGAATAGGCCTCGAGGACAGGTTGCCGAAATTTCAAAATCGGGCTGCAAGAGTAATTTCTGGTGCGACTTACGATGTTCGGTCGGTTGATTTACTTGAAAGTCGGGGTTGGAAACAGCTAGAACTACAGTATTCAGTAAGGCTAAATTATCTGAAATCTATTTTTATGTATAAAATTCTGAATAACCACACCGCACCAAATCTAAGAACATCCTTTCGATTGAATAATGAATGTGATAATACCTATGATCTTAGAAATAGAGACACCGATTTGTTTCTTCCTAAACCGAATACCGATTCTGGTAAAAGACGCTTCAAGTATAACGGAGCGGTAGTATGGAATAATTTACCGTATGAGGTAAAAGTAGCGGAATCTTTCAGTTCTTTTCAAAGAACCATTAATCAGGCAAACACTTAAAATTGGTTGACTATGCAAGAGTTATATAATCGAATCTCTTTTTCAAAACCAATCGGATATAGTTATAGGATTCGATTAGCAAATCAATTTTAAGAAAATAACTTGTGCAATTGACTAAATCAAATCTTATTATGATTAGTTTTAGTGAAATATGTTTTTTGGTATCAGTATACGAAAGCGACATGATTATTTTTTTTGATAAACCAAAAATATACGTTGGGCGAATATAAAAATACCAAAGAATGTTTCATACATGATAATAGGTAAATCAGGAACAAAATCTTCTATTAAACATTTAAAGCGACAGGCAAGACAAGGTAAATTTGTACATCGTAGGTCCGATGTTTGAACGCACAAAACCCACCAAAGGTTTTTCAGAAATCCCAAGGTTTGATTTCAAACCAAATATTATCCATTCAGTTTAGTTTCCATTAAAAAGTACAACTAACACCATTGTGTCCTTATATTCCCTACAAATGTCAGAAAATATAATAACAATTATGTCTCAATCAATTCCATGGGTGCCCAACTCCCCCCCCGGGCGTTTGTCGGGCTTTTGTCATTTTGGCGAAAAAACGTTGCAAATGCCCCAGTATGGGGTCCAAATAATGCAACAAAATCCCCACCCTTGAGGACTTACATTGACGCAAATGCCCCACCCTTGGGGGACAAAATATAAGTTTTCTGAGGATTTCTGATCCAAAAAATCGAATCCAAGCTCTATCACCTATCAATATATCTGTATTTAAAATCGATTCTATAGCCATTTAGTTTTAAAACGTTTTTAATTAAAATATTGAAGTCTCAAAACTTTATATAGCAATATCAAACTGCAGAAGTAAGTCAATGTATCAACAGGATGGACAAAAAAAAAGTCTTGTGTATGTCCGCCATGATTAATTTGCGATACGCGCGCTCGTGTAAACATGCGTACTAAAGTACGGCTAAATGGCGAAACAAGCGATAAATATTCGACTTTTTAGCCTCGAGCAAATTCCCCACCCCGGGGCTAACCTGCAGAAAGCAAATGCCCGACTCTGGGAACAAGTACAGTTGAGAATGCCCGACAAACGCCCGGGGGGGGGGGGATGGGCAACCATGGAATTTATTGAGACATTAGTTTGACAGTCAATTTGAACATATGAAATGATATTTTCTTTTCAGACTACACTTGTCCGCCGAATTGGAAGTTTTTCGATGGTCGTTGCTACTATTTTAGTCCGAGAACTGCCGAAACCTGGCTCGGGGCACGAGCTTACTGTCGCGCACGTGGTGGCGACCTGGCGGTGCCAACAAGCAAGACAAACAATCAACACATTTACAAGGCTATCAGAGCGAGCAACGTCCGCGCAGTATTTATTGGTCTTTTTAGGGTGGGTGAAGGTCTTGGAACCAAAATGTTTTACACCGTGAGTGGCGTCGAGCCATCCTACACAAATTGGTTTGGAGCGGAGCCAAATGATCATGCAGGAAAGGAAGATTGCGTTGAGCTGGTGTACAAAAAACCATATTTCAAAAATGGAGGTGATGTCGGTGGACAGTGGAATGATATGGCATGTAAAGGCTATCCTCGTCATTACGTCTGTCAAACCAGCTTCACATAAAATAACTGTTAATAAGTCATTTCAACGTTTTTCATGGAACAAAAACAATCTTTAAGTATTGTACCCTATATGATTTATGATATAGACAAAAGTAAGAAATATTTATAATCTTCACATGTAATGTTATAGCACAATTATAGAGCCTAATTAGAGAAAATAATATTTTCACGGTGGGCAAAAATGACAGCAAATTTGGCCACGTACAAATAACTTTCTGTCGTTAGTTTGGAATATCACGAAACTTCCTCACAGGATAGAACTTGCTATTCCTAAAAATCCTATCGTTTTTGTTTTTCGATTTTGTTACATTTTGGCGGGAAAATGACGTGCCAACTTTGGCGCCAAAAAATTAAACACGAGCTAAGAACATGTTAGTAACTTTTTTGAAGAGATTGTCCTATAAGGATCTCAAAATTGTAAAAACATTGAAAATATGCCAAAGCAGTGCAAAGATATGGTGCTTAAAATTCTGAAAAATCCGCCATTTTGTTACTAAAAATAGATTTTTTTCGAACTTTGAATCGCTATATCTTCGCACTGCCTTGTTGTATTTTTAATGTTTTTACAGTTTTGAGATCCTTATAGGACAATCTCTTCAAAAAAGTTACTAGCATGTTCTTAGCTCGTGTTTAATTTTTTGGTGCCAAAGTTGGTACATCATTTTCCCGCCAAAATGTAACAAAATCGAAAAACAAAAACGATAGGATTTTTAGGAATGGCAAGTTCTATCCTGTGAGGAAGTTTCTTGATATTCCAAACTAACGACAGAAAGTTATTTGGACGTGGCCGAATTCCACATCACCTCTTTTCCGCACAGCTATTGCACAGTCAATAAAAGTCTTTTCGTCCATGCTGTTTTGTAAGAAATTCCACCATTGCCCATATATATCTTCAGTATATATATTTTGCCAGAGGAATATTTCATTCGCATAAATTAATCCTTTTCTTGACAATTTCTAATGGCAGTTTTTGCTGGAGAACTCAAAGATACAATTATCGGAGGTTAGTTTAAAACAGTAATATTTCTGATGGCTCCCTTTCCCCTGATTCACTTTAATAAATACTAATATATTCATTTAAATAGAGCCCATACAGTAATTTTATGTTAAATACTCAAAGCGCTGTACGTACATTGACAGAAGCTATCGGAATACGTCAGTGGAAAACGGAATCAGAATTAAGTATGCTACTCGAAAATACATGCATGCAGAAACCCTCCCCTCGCCTTACTGACAAAACATTATGTTGCTTGTGATGTTACTCTGAGTGTATATACACACCGGCCAAGCTTGAAAAATATGCCTGACCACGGTGGGAATCGAACCTACGACCTTTGGAAACCTTCAAAGGTCGTAGGTTCGATTACCACCGTGGTCAGGCATATTTTTCAAACTTGCCCGGTGTGGATATACACTCAGAGTAACATCACAAGCATCATATTCACCTGAGTACATTACACCAACACAGAAAAAATCACAACATTATGTTTTCTGAATACGAAGAATTGAGAGAAGTTGTGATGGTAACACGATAATATTAAGAATACTAATAAGGAGTCTCTTGCTATACGCTGACGAAAACCTGATCTCAACCACGGCGCGAAAGCTTCCAAAGAACTTATCCATATTTCATTTACATTAAGCTCCGCTTTTCTTGGCTTTATAATATAGCTGCATCTGTAATTTTACACTATTCTTAATCCTGAGGATGACTACAAACTAGTCGAAACGTCGATTAAAAATCAAAATGTTATTCGGAGTTACGTACTCTTATTTTGTATTTTCTTAAAGTACTGAGTGGTTCCCGTAATTATCGAATGATTTCTCTTTGATGATACAAAATCTCCATGCATGTGTGAGATTGCTTGATATTTTGCTGGTTAATTCAGACAGGTTGGCCATTATAACTATACCAGCACTTGTTAGTGACAGCCGTAAACACCGTGCTCGCGCGCTATCCAGAAATAAATCTTGTAATTTCTAGAAAGTATTATAATTTCGACACGGTATAGTTTCTTCTAACCAAGTTTAATATTCCTTATTAAACATATAAAGAATAATAAAAAAGGAAAGAGTCTTTCATTAACTTTATGTACGTTTTATCATTCTCCACATAGTTTTATGGATTAATTATTACTTGTTTTTAGATTATTAGAATTTATATATATATATATATATATATATATATATATATATATATATATATATATATATATATATATATATATATATATATATATATTTAAAAAACTGATTAATAATTCAGGAGCAAAACACAAAGAAAAATCATAAGCGTGTCGTGGTTTTATATGTGATAAAAAATCATGTTAATTTACATAAACTCTAGCTTTGATTTTCTCGGTTTAGACAAAGTTTATTTTAAAAATTACTTCGCCAATGAACTCGTATAAGATGAGTCGTTTGTTAAGCTATTTAAAGCACTTGTAGTCGTGTTTTATCACATATAAAACACTCCGCTACGCGTCGTGTTTTATATGTGATAAAACACTCCTACGCGTGCTTTAAATAGTACATATATACTCCTACGCGTGCGATATATATATATATATATATATATATATATATATATATATATATATATATATATATATATATATATATATATATAACGCTACGGGAATTAAACAGTCTGTCGTGCATCATAAACGTGGCTAAACAATTCAATTTTTACATAGGACGAAAGAACAGTTATTTAGCTTTTCAATGATACTCTTTTTAAGTGATTAAGTCGTAATTATAACGATGAGAAATGGCCACATACTCGTTAAATAAAAATTGCCGGTCGAAATCACATTCTTCCACCGTTGGGAATTGCATCGAAAACGAAACATAAACAATTCCCAAGAGGGAATTAAAATTGAATGTTAAATTATCTAAAATAAGCTCAACTCGTCAATCTTTGTCTTAGTGAGACAATAACTCAATACGAATTTGGTACGAAACATGATTCAATTAACCCCTGAACAGGGAACATTCGTTATCAAAACGTTTTATGAAACAAGTCGCTTGCAGCAGGCTCGCGTTGCTTTTGGATTGACTAACTTTGCATAATTAATGAATTTTCAAATCCCAATGGTGGAAGAATGTGAGTCTAATGTGATTTCGACCGGCAATTTTTATTTGACGAGTGTGTAGCCATTTCTGATTGTTACGATTTCAAAAAGGTGTCATAGAAAAGCTAAATAACAGCTCTTTCTTCCTATTTAAAAATCGAACTCTTTAGCTACGTTTATGATGCATAACAGCCTGTTGAATTTCCGTAGCGTTTTTTTTGAGACACCCTGTATATATATATATATATATATATATATATATATATATATATATATATATATATATATATATATATATATATATATATATATATATATATATATATATAATATTATCACTCGATATATAGAACTAAGTGTTGTAGGTTTTTTCGAGAATCAGGCAAGGCATGCTGAGGTTTCGTTCCTGCTAGAGGGCCTATGTTGCAAAACATTTGTTGTCTCGAACAGAATTTGCTCTATACCTATTGAAGTATCGAGTCAACGGGGATCCGATATCATTCTACATAATTGTTGAGTTTGTTTTGACATTATGGGTGTGTCAATCTGTGTGTCGATCTGTTGTATCTTTCTATTTTTAGTGGTTTGCTAGCTCGTCTACTGTGTGGTCAGACAAGCCGACGACGGTGGCCTATCATGTTGTATCTATTGTTCATACATCCTGTTCTAGATGTCTGTTTGTATTCTCTATACTCTCTTTATGTTGGAATATCAATACTTATAGTAACAGTTGCAAACAGTCATAATTATCAACTTGCAGTATATTTAACAGTTATTCTACGAACTCGAGTCGAATATGAGCTGATCGCTCATATTCGACGAGAGTGAGTGGAATAACTGTTTTATTATATACACAAGGTCTGAATTCACAGACTTTACTTTTCGGATATTTTCAATATTTTTCTATTTTGTTTATGTTTTTATCTTTGCTCTTTCGGCCGAGTTCTTTTTCAAAAATATGTATTTTTAAGGGAGTGTTCATTATTTATACCCGGGGTTGGTACCGAAGAGAAACTATAATCGAAAAGAGAAAAAAACAACCACCCACCCTTTCGATCAACCATTTTTTCCCCTACCCAACTATTACATGACTTGAATTTTTATTTTACCCAACCCAATTTCAAAATTATACAAGTATTTTACATATATACATATATATTATTATACAAGCTAGGCCACTATAGTATAAACAGTACTATACATATTTGGTGCACTAACTGAATGTCAAATATAATCATTTGTACCTTTACAAGTTCATATTATGTTCCCAAGCCTCCAAGTTCCTGCAGTCCTACCATATCTCGTTGTTGTAAATGAATGAATGAATGAATGAATGAATGAATGAATGAATGAATGAATGGATATTTCCTGGAATGACCCATTTTGTTAAATAAAGGATTTTCATATTTTGTTCAATTGAAAGTTTGTATTGAAAATAATTTACCCAACGATAGGCTTTGTTCAAAAAATATTTACCCAACCCTTCATACCTCAGAAAAATGGCTTACCCAACCCATTTCTCTTCGGTACCAACCCCGGGTATAAATAATGAACACTCCCTAACCATTTTAAATTTTAAAAATTCATTTGCTAACCTGTAAACAATTTGTGGGAATTTTTTCGTTGTGTTTTTAATCCTGTAAAGGCTATAAAAAGCGAACAACTTGCCGTTTTCTCGTCCGCAAGATGTCGGAAATTCAGTTTGAGCCGCCATTTTGTTTTTCTCTACTAGCAGGATATGACCTAATATCCTGCTAGTAGAGAACCAATCAGATTGCAGAATACCTCATATCCGGACCTTGTGTATATAATAAAACTATATATCCTGGAGGGGGTGCTCCCTTCTTCATTCACCCTGATTTCTGCAAGTGAATGCCACTGCCAAGAACACCAAGTAAGCAATTTATATCCCCCTTCCCTATCCCATACTATATTGTCTTATAATCAACAACAACCATATGTCATAATGGGATCTTATTTAGCTATAAATAAGATCCCATTATGACATATGGTTGTTGTTGATTATAAGACAATATAGTATGGGATAGGGGAAGGGGGATATAAATTGCTTACTTGGTGTTCTTGGCACAATGTACAAAACATATTCTGTTTATTGGATTTTCTTCCAAGACAAACTATTATTGCATGAATTTGGTATGCTGAATTACATCATTCTATTCAAGAACTATATGCATCGATTATACTTCTAATTTCCATACTTGTCATCATTTGTTACTGATGAATGACTTTCAATATATGACCTATTTGATATATTTACTAGGCAGAACTAACAGTTGATTTGTGTTCCATCACCCCTGACTATGACATTTTCTAAAATGAAATAGATCAATTATAAACAGCAAAAATGTTGGTATTGTGTATCAATTATGGTATAAAAAAGCTTTCAAAACTCTGCAAATGTATATTGGCGCCACCTGTTATCCTGACAACTTCTATGCATCTACAATGTTCTTGCATGCCTGCTAAAGTTTATTATGAACTATCAAGAAGATTTGGAACCCGAAATGTTTTAACAAGAACACAGGGATTGATTTAATGGGGAGATGCGGGGGGGGGGGTGCACCTCCTAGCCC